CTTGAGCCAGACCACAGCAGCCTGAGAAGTCAAAACCCGATAAGGCCGAATTGCAGGCAGGCTCTTAGACAGGTCTGGTGGCTCAATCAGTGATTTGAGGGTGTGAATTCTGGCATGCAAATACAGTTTTAAGGCCTTTATCTCCAGCCATGTGCTCTTTGCCCCGTGCAGCGGCGGGGCTGGGGCGAGGAAGCACCTCCACATGTGCCTGCGGTTTTGCAGAAACACAACCTTCCTTCCTAAAGCTGAGAGCCAAGCTGAGGGAATCCCCGCAGCATGCACTGCCGTGCCACCCATGTGGGCTGCCGCAGCTGAGCCGTTAATGCTTCCCCAGAGCCTGGGAAGGGTGCGGAGGGCAGCACTGGCGAGCTGCCTGGGCCACAATACAGCACATGGCTGCGCTGTTTAAAGTTGGTTCCTGAAGCAAGTTTGCATCAGGAGAAGGAAGGTCAGATATGCTGTAACTGTTTGTTCTCTTACCGCAGTACATAGCTGTGCACATCATACCTGATCAGATGATGTCTTTCGGGGGCTCCACTGATCCCTGCGCACTCTGCAGCCTTTACAGCATCGGCAAAATAGGAGGGCAGCAGAACAAGACTTACACCAAGCTCCTGTGTGATCTGATCTCTAAGCACTTGCATGTATCTGCAGACAGGTAAGGCTGGGACATGATTTTAAACTTGTTTATCTGGCTTTCTGAAACCGCTTTGAAAAATTTATTTAAAAATACAAAAAGCCAGGAATAAGTCCATGTGTTTGAGAAAATACCAACTGATCATTTGCAGTGTTTTCACGTCCAGTTAAGAGTTTGATGCCTACATCTTTCCCTTGAGAGTCCTCTGTTAAATGGCTTCCTGTTCTCAGACTAGGGAAAGTACCGGAGGGCTGACAAGTTGTAGAGCATGTCTTTTGCTTCTGAGGTGTGATGTCTTGTCCTCTGCTGATGCGAGGCTGAAAGCACAAGGGAGAAGCAGTAGCAGGCTGGAGCTGAATGGCAGAGTAGAAACCAGCCGGCTGTGAACAGCTCGCTTGCAGGCTGCAGAGCCTTGGGAGAGTGTCTACGTGCAGGATGGGAAGAACCTGCTGCCACTGATATGCCAGGGTTGGAAAGGAGCAGTGCAGAGCCAGCCCTGAGGGCCTGCTTGGCTTTCGTAAGGCTGCCTGTTTGACATGTGTGAAGGTCTGCAGCGCTGGAAACAAAAGGTTTTGATCTCCGGAAATTCTTGGCAGGCTGCTAACCGAAAGCTGTCTGATGTCTGGACAGTCCCTGACTGAAGAAGAGTTTGTATTTTTAAAAAGAGAAAAAAGTACAATTCCAGGAACTCTGAGGAATATTGACTATTTGGAGACTCTATCGAGAAGTCCGCTAGATTTTGGTAAAAATGGAGCTTGAAATTTCTTCTGAGGAATAGGAAGCACTGTCCCCTGTCCTGTTGGTCTGTCTCACTCGTTACTTACATAAATGAGTTAATAAGGTCATTGTTTGTCTTCCTGTGCCTCTTCTGCAGGGTGTACATCAACTACTTTGACATGAACGCTGCCAATGTGGGCTGGAATGGCTCCACCTTTGCGTAGAGGTTTCCCATCTGAAGAGGCTGCTCCTGGACCTACCTTCATCCTGCCCCTTAGCAGAGACCGCCGCACAAATGGCCCCGTGTTGCACTTTGTGCACTCTCACATTGATGGCTACTTGCTAGTGTGTTTAAATATTGCTGCTTCAACATTCCTCTGTTTTCTCTGTGTAGAAAACAAATAAAGATTTAGAAGTAAGCTGTCTGGTGTTGGCTTTGGCAGGTTGGGGATGGAGTTGGGCAATCGGCAATGTATCTGTTTCACTTCGCTAGAGCAAACAAAAGGAACACCATGAGTTGCTTCTATTTCTCAGACATGGTATTTTTCCAGTACTGAGTGGCAGGTGCCTGACAGCGCTCCAGGGTGATTTTTACCTTACTCCAGAGGCTGTAGGTGCCTTCAGGGCTTCTTGTTCCTCTGAGTTTATTCTTTGGGGAGGTTTTTTTTTGGCTGTGTTGTCTACTGCTGCAGCAGTCCTTGGGCCAGCCCCGTGCCTGCTGCTTCAGGGAGGCTTTCCTCTAACAACGTGGCAGCTCTGTGGGGCCGTGCAAGCAAGGAAGGAGTGCTCTTTGTTCACCGAGTCAAAATGCTGCTATCCACATTGCTTATGCTGGC